ATCTACCGACCCATCCATCTCAGCACCAACATCCCCCCCATCCATCTCCACATCCACTATCCATCCCTCCATCCATCTCCATTCCACACACCCCAGCCACCCATCCACTATCCATCCCTCCATCCATCTCCATATCCACCCAGCCAGCCATCTACCAACCCATCCATCTCAGCACCAACATCCCCCATCCATCTATCCATCTCCACATCCACTATCCATACCTCCATCCATCTCCATTCTGCACAACCCCTCCATCCATCCATCCACCTCCATACCCACCCTGACAGACAGCCATCCATCTCCGCAACTACACACCCCCTATCTGTCCATTCATCTCCACACCCACTGTCCATCCATCCATCCATCTCCATTCCACACCCCATTCCTCCATCTCCATTCTGCACCCCATCCATCTCCATTCCACACCCCGTCCATCCATCCCTCCATCCATCTCCATTCCACACACACCCCTCCATCCATCCAGCCAGCCACACACCCTGTATGCAGCCAGCCAGCCACCCACCTCCATACCTACACAGCCACCCACCCATCCACTATCCATCTACCCATCCATCTCCACACCACACAGCCAGCCCTCCATCCCTCCATCCATCCCACACATCCCATCCATCCGTCCATCTCCACACAGACAGACAGCCCTCCATCCCACCATCCATTCCACACATCCCATCCATCCATCACCATACCACACAGCCAGCCCTCCAGCCCCCCATCCATTCCACACATCCCATCCATCCATCCATCTCCATACCACACAGCCAGCCTCCATCCCACCATCCATTCCACATACCCCATCCATTCATCCATCCATCTCCACACCCTGTATCCATCCATCCATCCATCTACCTCCATACCCATCCATCCATCCATCTACCCAACCATCCATCTCCACACCTACACACCCCCATTGATCCATCCATCCACCTCCATACCCACACACCCCCGTCCCTCCATTCACCCATGTCCACACCTACACCCCCCATCCATCCTTCTCTCCAGCCACCCCCCTGTTCATCTCTCCCGCACACACCTGTCTGCATGTCCATCCCCAGGCACACCTCTCTCTCTCTCTCTCTCTCTAGTCAGTGCCCATCACAATCAGCCCTAATTGGAGCTGGTTGAAATATTTATTTTTTATTTCCAAGGAAAACGAACATTTTTCAGGGAAGTTTCAAACTGCAGAGGACTTGGATTCTGAAGCGTGGCCGCGGTGCTTGTGGGCAGCATAGCTCAGTTACCTCATGTCCCTGTTCTCGTCCATGGGCTGAGATACCCTGATGCACCAGAGCCAGGGTCTCTCCTCTGGACAGGAACGTTGGGTTTTCAACCAGAGCAGAGGCCTTTCCTGAGAAATTTCATTTTGTCAAAAACCCAATTTTCCATTGAGTCCAATGAAGCTACGGCCGATTGAGACGGGTTGGGGGTCTGGCCCCATTGACTCCAATGGAGCTACGGCCGA